ACCAACATCCATCTCATAATTTATATATAGAATATATCGCGTATATAACTTAAGAATTATTGTTGTTTGTAGAATATTAAAATATCCTCTTCTTGTTGTGTATCAGCTCACTCAATATTTGTAGGAGAAAAAAAATAGATGATTGCACTCGTTATTTACGAAAATTCATATTTTGTGATGTACGAGCGCAACGGGCGTGTTTTAAGAGGTGCCAGCCTCAAGGAAAAGCTCAGAAGATCTCGTTTCCAAAGGTGGATAAGATCAACCTTCGTTTACGAATGGTTTGCGAGGGTAGTTTCCGTGCCTGAGATAACGCTCCTTCTTCCTTTTCCTGAAGAAACCCTCCCGCGCGTTCGTCTGTGTAAGTATGCCTTAGTGTGCGCACACGTGCACGGCTTTAAAGTGCGCCAGAACTACCGCAAATCGACCACCGAATTTCCTCATTCAAGGAAATCGAAGGAATGAGGTAATGCAACGTAACGTGGGGAATCATTTTGCATCACCGTTTTCGCGAAAATCAGCATTTCACGGGAATTTTCGTTCAGTGAACATTTTTATCCTAAAACAACTATATATTTTCCGTGCATATATGTACGGAAAATATATAGTTGTTTTAGACAAAAATTTATGAATAATAGTATGTAAGAATATAAGAATATAGACAAAAATTTATGAATAATAGTATGTAAGTACCTTATTCTTAAATTGATAACTTACATGAGATAACATGAAATGAAATTTTAGTTATTTATAGAGAGAAAGAGAGAGAGAGAGAGAGAGAGGATAAAGTTTCACGTAAAACATTATATATTAAACGGATAAAATCATTTTTGTTATTTCTTTTCGGACTAAACTGAAACAGTCGCGTATAATAATTCTAAAAATACGCTTGCTGTAAAATAATAAATTACATAAAATGGACTTGAAGAAACAGCTTCTCGTGCGAAATGCGATACGTGCCAAAACTTCTTTTAGATTTTTCGTATTTCTGCAACATGCTATCCCAATCAGTCGCATGTCGTGTACGACTTTGCGCGACACACGCGAAAATAAAAATTCGCGTGATAATGCAAATAAAACGCATTGTCATCGTTATTGCGAGCATTTCATCTCCATTAACAATGACACATTTCTGGCGTCGTGGTGATGAAACATAGCACGTAAATATGCGGCCCTACACGAGCGAGCAACGTGGAAACGATAGAAAGAAAGTAGGTCTCTGCCAGAGACGTCGCCATTGAAACTGTTGTGTTTTCGCTGAAGAGAGGAAATATAACGAGGAGATTTATAACGACAACGCTGTTGTGTGCCACACCGAGAGCACGCCGAAAAAATCATGCCGAAGAAATTCCTCTCAAATTTCGGCTAAGCTTTTTACAATGCTTGTGACAACTCGAATCTCACTTATCATCGCAAACGAGATCGTCCAAACTTTTTCCTTTCTCCCGCACTTCTTTTGGACATTTCGAGAGGTATGTAGGACGGAATTCAGACGATTCTTTAAAAAAAATCAAGCTTTCGAGAAATCATAAAAAGCACTTAAAAAAAGTGTCGCCTAGACGAACTGTTTATACGGATGGTAGTAAAATGATTATAAGCATAAAAAGGAGTCTGAGTGGATTGAGCTTGAAGAGTGAAAGAGTTTCTTTTTCATGTGACAGCATCCCTCAATCACTTCTTGCTCCTCACGGACTTCCTCTCGCCTTTACGCTATCGTTTCTCGTCTGATGCTATCGTTATAGTTCTTACGACAGTACTTTTTCTTAAGCAAATGTCCGCGAATTTTTCTTCTCTGAAAAGACTTTACATATCCCTTTCTATACGCGTACATGGTTGAAACGTATCCCTTTTAAATCATTGTTCAAATATTTTAAAAGCGTCTCGCATACTTTAGAATATCCCTCCAAGACTGTTTATCCTACGAAAGATAACTGCAGAACGAACGAATCGTTTTAATCAAATTGCTGAGAATCTAAATTTAAAACTAAGGAGAGATAAATTAACCGTGTGCGCAAGCTCGCTTTAATCACAGCCAACGGCGGTTTAAGTCCAATCGCTGTTTCCGCACGCAAATTGCTGCCCTTTCCCAACGATACGTCGCTCTTCGTAATCCTCTCGTCTTCGGAACGCGCGAGAAGCACGAAAAGCACGAAGAGACCCGGGGAACAACAATCGCTGCGATGTATAACAGCGATTTTCCGTGCTTAACTTCGTCTCTTGACTCACGGACAGAGGGAAAATCCAAGCTGGCTCGACCAGGGTAGTATTATATACCGATGGGTTTACATAGGTCGTACCACCTGGTAGATACATCGCTGCTCGTCGCGTTTACCCGACAAGCACGGTAAGAGAGATAGAAAGAGATAGATAGATAGAGTGACTCGCGGATAGGAGAGAGGAGGTGGTTGCGATAGTAGCAGGTCGCGGTTAGGAAGACGAAGGCAGAGGACGAAAAGGGCGGCGGTGGGTATCAGAGAGAAGAGAGGTGGGAGGAGGATGGCAAAAAAGAGCCGCGGTAGGGGGTGGTGGTGGTGGGCGGCGAGTGGGGTTGAAGCGGCGGTAGCTGAAGGAGGGAATGACCCCGTGTACCCGGGGTCAACCGTTGCACTATGCTCTCTCTCCGTGTCTCATAGTCATGGACGAGCCTCGTTCGCTCGCACGCTCTGATATATATATATACGGGTTAGATGTGTCGTGTATATGCACAGGCCTGGAAGAACCCACCTGAGCACACCTGAGTCAGGTGGTTGTTCTTACTCGCCTTACTGTCGTGTCATATATACGGCGCAGGTATATTGCGCATTGCCGTCGACGCGATATTTATGAATACACGCGGGATGAGGCTTGGCGAGACGGCGACGCCGAGCATTATTTCTCGTTATTGTCAAACGATATATATCTCTGGGTCCTCCACCTCTCTCGAATAGCTTTCTCGCCTAGACGATGTCAGCTATCTCACCCGAACATTCGCCTATGCGAAATACGTGGGAGAAAGTAGGAACTCGAGAGAGAGAGAGAGGAGATATTTTCATCTAGATTCACGCGTGAACAATGCATGTTAAAGGCCGTGGCATGTAATGGTAAAGCCAGGAAAGATACGTCGTAAAATAGCGCAATACTATTTTGCCTGTCGAGTTTTAAACCCGCTGGAAAAATATAGCGAACGAGGGAAAATTTGAGAGTGTACAACACACACAACGTTCATTTAACGAAGTATCGAAATATCGATATTCTTTAAAACGCGGTTATTAATAATTAGATACACAACAAAATCCTATACTAACATTGGTCGACGTTGTTAATCGTTTAATCTCAGATATAACGAATCACGTAGAGAGCGTATATATCGAAATTATGAGCCATTCGCGAAGCACTAGACATTAATAATTTCAGCGTGCAGCTATTTCTCCGTATTTTCGTAAGATGCACGAGAACGCTGCACGTAAAAATGCACAAAATTTGTACATGTACCTTCTCTCCGGTGGGATTCTTTCGCGAGCATTGGATTATTTCGCAACGTCAAATCAAGTCAGTATCGCGCGCGCAGTTGCTTGCGGAACGGTGAGCTTCCGCTTTCGAAATCGCTTTATGCGCGATTATATTTCTTAGCCGGCCAGCCGCGCCTATATTTTCCACCTACAGCACAGTAGATATCCGTGACGGTATTAAGTTATGATATAACCGTTCTGCATCCATCATAAAATCAAGTTACAGTTACGTGCTATCGCATGACGTTTCAATATCGATTCTACGTACGTACGTTCGTATTCGGCGACGGTGTTATGTATGTATATGTATATGTGTATCCGCGAGAAGCAAGACGCTGTATAAATCACGTTTCTAAGTCGATAATCGAGCACGATACGTGCGAGACAATGAGAACGAGAGATGTGCGATAACGATAAAGGCAGCCGATCGATTTGCGTATCGCGCAACAGTATCACGTCGTTGTGCTAGATTATAATCCAACCGCGGCATTGTAATTTCTCTACGGTATCGCACTGAAAATGAAGTGCATCATCGCACAGTTGTACAAGTTGCACCACCTCGCCCGTTGAGAATAGCCACAGTGAGAAATGCAAACGAGAACTTTTTCGCGATACTTAATGCCCGTCATCAACGACATGCCATCATGAGTCGCGTCTCCAATTAACGCAATTAGCGATTTCATTAGCACTAATTACATCACGCGTCGCACTTAACTCGCCCCTCTCACGTGTCCGTCCCGTCACGAAACAATGATTGATACCACGCGGTAGTTTCCAGAGTTTTTGCCGTTCTATTTTTTTTTCTCCTCGCAACACGCAAATCCGGGAAAGTCCGGAAAATCCTCTTTGAACTTTTCCAACAGGAAGGAGTTTTTATCTCCGACGAAAACCTCATGAAGAACTCGAAACTATCGAAACTATTTCCACCCAGCCGCTCGCTTTTTGCACGAGAATTTAATAGCGTTGCATCGCACGTTTCGCCATTCGGAGCTGCGGAGCTTTTAACAACAAATTTCGACGTGATTCTCAATCGCGTCTGCATTTCCACATACAAATTTAATGACTAGTTCGATCTTTTCTATTCTATTAAATAGAAACTCGCGTAACACCCAAACAACGCAGATTATTTCAGCAATATTGCAGCAATATTTCTCCTTTTCTCTAAATAATTATCTCAAGTATCTATACGGCACAGAATCTTGCAGCAACGTTGCTGCAAGATTCTGTCTGTATGGATACTCGGAATAATTATTTTGAAAACAAAAGGGGAAGAAAAGTTAAAAAGAATCGTAAAATTTGTAAGCCACTATAAATCTAAGAATCATGATAATAAATTTAGATCTTTCAAAGAATTTGAAAATAATTCAACGCGCGAGACTCAGGCTGCTTCGCTACAGTACAATCCCAAATCTACCAGCAGATGTTCCACTAATTAAATTCAACAATTATATCTCGTCGGAGGTGTAATAAATCACCAGTCCTGGCGGAAAATTGAATGAGAGAAACGCTTACCCGTTACGCTGAGCAGCGACATGTTCAGAGGATCCCCCTTTGCTCGGCTGAATCTTTCGAGTTGTCTCTAATCAACCGAGCGGTGCACTCAATTCGTGTAGAGATCCGTATTGAAAGTTATATGCTGCTTTACGATGAAACACGCGCCGGTTTCGTGTAGATACACTCGTATACGATACGCAGGCTAAATATCCTCTGCACGCCTGCACTAATAATCCTCTTTTCTCTCTTTTTCTTTCTCTCCCCCTCTCTCCCCCTCTTTCTCTCTGTCTCTCTCTTTTTGTCTTATTCTCTCTGTCTTTCGTTCTTACCTCCCTGCTCTTTGCTCACTATGCGTCTCTATCACGTACAATGTACAAACGCGAAATACGTGTCGCATCCACACGTATACAGATATATGTGTCTGTATAAGTATTACGTTACGTGTGAAATCCGTGTTTATAGTCGCCACGTACACGCTGGTAACGCGCGAAAGCTTAAAAGTACGGAAAGTACGAGGTAAGTACGAGCACCTCGAATGCGCTATTTTTTTTTTATTATTTTCTTTATACTTCTTAACGGAATACTCCTGTTTACAGTTCGTCACAGGTTGACCGCGGCGAAGCGTCCATCCGTAACACCTTGTCGCGATACACCGGCTTATCTGGATCAACGATACCTGGCTCCTTCTCCCCCGTCGCTCCTATACCCTGGTCCACCCCCTCCCACCCTTCCCCTGCCGGTGTGTGTACACTGGCCGATGACCGTACGTGACACGAGTTCCTATGCGCTCGCCTGTAACACTGTCTTCTCTGTATACCGGCGCGCGATGACGATCGATCGGCGCGGAGAATGACTGTTGTACACGCGTTATTATCAACGATTGACTCGCTATCGGTCCCGTTACCGCGATACGAGAAGCCTAGCCGGCTCGCGGATTAACGTTCGCACGCCGCCTCGCTAATCATCGGTTACACTCCCTCCGTCGCGCGTATCGTCGATTACGGCTAGAAATAGCAAGGCTCTTGGTCACGCGCAACAACGTAGAAGTCCGTTCCGGCGGTTGAGAAGACGAAGATCGTCACTGCTCGTTGCCGTGCTGTTGTCCGTGCCCGCGTCGTCCCGGTGCTCCGAAAGTCGTTCCGATATCAAATCGTCCCCACGGACGTCGTCGTCGGCGAGTAATGAGGCTACGATGCTAATAATAGCGAGACGCTGGCAATAATAGTAGTACGGCAGCACCGATACGATTTCTGTGTAGCTGATCCACTGCGGCTCGATGATGTTGCTGTTGTCGTTCCCGTGTACCACGCGACGGCCGCAATTGCGAGACAACATCGCCGAGACAGCGTCGCTATGTAGTAGGTCCGCCGTTGATCGCCGTTTTCCACCCACGTTGTGATAAGTTCGACCAAGCGTCTCTCGGTTCTGGAGAAGCGACCACCGTGCCGCCGTCGTCGTCGTCGTTGTCGTCGCCGCCGCCGCCGTCACCGTGCTTCTCGTTATTATCATAGTAGCGAGGGCTGCGGGGGATGTTCCGAGTCGCCGTCGCGCGTCTCTTGTGCTCGTCAGGGGAACGTGCACCACCAACGACGCCAGACACGTCGTCGCCGTCGTTCCGAGGCGCGACCGGTCACGCGCATTTCACTACGGTACCGTGAAAGAGCGCCGGGCACGTAAGACAGACAGACAGAGAGAGAGAGAGAGAGAGAGAGACAAAGAGAGTCAGAAGAGAGGCAGGAGAGAGAGCGGAGACAAAACGGATTGGGACGAGTGGGAAAAAAATGGAAAGAAAGCTGAGGGAGCCGCGCGCTCCGAGACCGAATTCGGAGCGATGGATGGGTCAAAGAGAGAAAGAGAGAGAGAAAGAGAGAAGGGGAAAGGAGAAGGGGATGAAGGGATAAAGAAGATCGGAAGAAGCACGCGGCGTCGCGAGAACTCTTGGTGAATATCTCACGTACCGAACACACAGTAAACCGTGATCTCTCTCTTTTTCCTTCCCCCCCTCGCTCCTGGCACCGCTCGCTCACTGCTCTTCACGTTCGTTTCCGTGTCGACCGCAACCGCGTAACCCGCACGCCGTGCACTCGATTTCGCTCCGCTGTGTACGAGGGGGGTGGAGGGTGGTAGTAACGTGCGTCAGCGACGTGCAGCGTTACCGGAAGAAGGACTACCGTGTCTGACGCGCGCGTGATCGGACCGCGGTGCCACGATCGCGTGCGATACGCCGCTCGATCTGTCACCGACGCCGACGTTGGATCCGCTGGAACGTTATTGCGAACATACGCGGACTGCGCGACGTCGAGCACTGTGCGAACGGAGACGCCTCCGACACGCCGCCGCCATTTTGCTACGTCAAAGGGGTGACAGCGCCGGCGCTGATAAAGCCGGTCAGAACCGAACGTTGTCGGAGCCAGCCGACGTAAGCTCGGTAGCGAGACTACCGTGAGCCTCGCCACCCCCTCTCGAGAGGTGCAAGCACCGGTCTCCCCCTGGTCCTACCCTATCTCTTCTTTCTCCACCACCGAGCGACCGAGCAAGCTGCCTTTTTCGACGATGCGTTCGCTCGCTCCGGGGGTGCAACGTCTTGAGAAATCGTTGCGGACTCGGCTCGCTCCGGACGCGATTATTCAGAGTTCAAAAGGTTGGAAAACCACGTTTCGTGCCCCCGATTTACAACGGCATGTTGAATGGACGTTACTTTTACATGTCGAGACTTTTTCGAATAAATATTTAGAATACATATGCAAGAAATTCACTTTGCGAGATTTTCCACGAAATTATATTACGTAATTTCGCGTGGTACGCATTCAGCATGGCATGCTTTTGATAACGTAAAAAGACTAAACTCACCTCTTGGAAGTTGGGTCGATCCCGCACCCGTGAAAGCTAAGTGATCCTAATTAGCGATGCCGTCGAGTTTCGCTCGAATTTCCGGAGCGAATGCACGTCGCGAGACTCGTTTTCGCACAACTATAATGCAGAGAGAGAGAGAGAGAGAGAGAGAACAGATTAGTCTCACTGTAAGATGCCTAATTCCGATAACAGCTGCCTACACCGCCATCCGTGATTACTTTACGAGGCGATGGCGATCTCTCTAGTTACTTCGAATAAACGTTATCCCATCGCCATCACGAACGGCTATAAAAAGAAGACTGAAATCGTTGCATGCTGCCAGCAGGATTGAATTTATGCAGTTGTACGAGCAAAAAAATTGCTGATCCATATTCCCAATAATACGTGCTTGAAATAATTTTATTCCACAAATAATACGCGCGCGATGGCCAGAACGAATAATACGATGTTATACCGCCCGCAGGCTTTTTTCAAAATTAGCTAAAATTCATGATATCCCGGGCGTCGGTATTTCAGATGGAAAATTGGTTCATTAGAATGCCTGTGTAAACTGTTTTCTCGTTAGCGTGAGAAAGGGTCGTAAATGCGGGGTTGAACGAGCTGTGGCACACGCAATGTCTGGTATTCCGGAGTCTCTGCAAATACCGCCGTGGAACAACGTTTTACCACTACCGCCGATCGCAACGCCGCGATAAGAAATTTTGCACATTGTCATAAAGATACTCGATCTTTAATTAATTTCTACAATCTACTCCCATTCAAGCCGGTGAACGGATTTGCAAAGCGGCATTAATACGGGACACGGGCGGCGCGCCATAAGTAGTTACGCCGGGTTACGGCGCGACGCGTCGCCTCGATAAGTAGTAAATCCCACTCGTGCGCGACCCGCGAATAGCGAGTATAGCGAGTACTACTGACTCGTACTACTGAAGAAACCAACTGCGCTCTCGCTCCATAATTTTCACAAACACCGGAAAATCATACAAAATGAGGTGTAATAGAATGAGAAAAAAAAGAGGCCGTGTGAAACAAATTCAAAATTAAGTAAAAAAATTATTATTATTTATTTAATAGAAATGTTAGTGACGAAACGTTTCGACTTAATTTCATCTTCAACCGAGTAAAATTACTAATCTAATATAAATTAATTAATTAATTAAATTAATAAGTTAAGTAAAATATTAAAAGTACAACGTTGGAATGGTTGGAGCGTTTGCTTTTGTTTTCATTTTTGTAATTTGTTTAAACGTTTCAATGTTTAGTTTATTAATTTGTTTATCTGTATTAAATTATTATTCGATTGAGAATGACTAAGTTAAGTTATAAAATATTCCACCACTGATATTTATTACATTAAATAGATGGTTATTCAGTTTTATACATAATTTTGAGCTTGTTTTATATATTTCTTTTCCTTTTCACTCCATTAGTAAAATGAGGACAATTTATTATTAATTTATTTAAAACAAACATGTTTGTTCAAAGATTCAGGAATTAAACAAACAATCAATACATTCAGACAGAAATAATTAAAATTATATAGAAATTTTTAAAAAAGAATATCCAAAATAAATTTTACTTAAATTTAAGATAGAAAATATGTAATTTTTGAAAAAATACTATCAACGCTATTGCAGTTATCCTTTTCTTATAAATATTTTGTAACTTACAAACATTTTTTGAAATATTTATAAAATATTTGAAAGTATCTAAAAAATTAAAAAATAGCCTGTTTGACTATTTTGTAGACTGTTTTCTTATGAAAAAATTATTTTTTTGTATTTTATGCATAAGAAATTAATTTGACATGTAGACTACTCGCTATTTGGGTTTGTAACACGATTAAACAATAATTAAATTTACACGTGCTGATAATCAGGTTCTAAATACGAAGGAAAGTTCCCGATATCGACTCGTATTTAGGATCCAACAGCTTCGTCAATGACGTTGGTTCGATGTAGAGCAATTTCATTAGGCCTGGTTATAAATAGTCTTTCATGCTTCATAGTTATCAATAAGAAATGCATCGTGCACGGCAGCAACGACGTTCTTTTTGAACATCGAGGCGCATGCCGTTGTCATACATCGATGTAAGCTTTTTATTCCACGTTCCATGCAAACGACGGCTGTTGTGTCGGAAATAATAAGACTTGCGGCTTTACGAAAAGAGAGAACGTTCTGAAAATGCTAAAACATTACCGTAGAGAGCCTCGATGCGTTTTATCGACTCGCGTATCGCGTCTATGCTCACCTACAGATAATAATGTCTTTATCAATAACGATTACCACACGGAGCCAGATTATAGTCCTCGTATAGCTCTGACGTAACGTATTGTAAGCTAACGCTGTTACTTTTCTTTTTCTACGTATGGGTGGTGCTTCGAAGCTCAAGTACTCGCTGTTTGAAAATTTCATCTCGCAATTACTCGTATGTAATTCGAAGCGAAGTTGAATAGAGAGCCTGTTATATAGCAACAATTCCAACTTGGTGTATTCGCGGTCGTTGTATAATCGGCGTAGCGTGAGAATCGTGTGCGACAAACGGCATCACGTGTGAAACGTGAGAGGCGCGAAGGCTTTTTATAGAAAGGGAAAAAAAAATAATAGAACCGCGCACAGCATCCGCCGTGGAAACGATTTAGCTCGAGGATTGCGAGGCTTCAGTATTGCCGACTCCATTCGCGATCATAAAAGGAAATGACGGCATGAAAAAAAAACAAGGGGGCGGAAAGGAAGCAGAGGGAACCGATTCTGCAATGTATAAAAGTAAACGCGCGCGGCGCGTGAATACGGATCGTGACATTCGCGATACTGGGTTGCAACTCGACGCGTTTGTACGAACATTTATCAGACTATTGTAAATGGCATTTACTAGTCCATGTTACGGATATCATCGAAGCTGCCTACATCGCGAAATCGATACAATTATTTGCGATAATGCAATCCGATTTATGTTACAAGATGTCGCTTCAATCGTCCAATTCACTGATTAATTGAAATTATTGAAACATCCTATAGAACGCATGCGAGATCGAATAATCTTTTTAGAAATACGTGTGATCATGTCAAACTATTTTTAACACGCAAATTCTGCTATCGTTCACACGTTAATCGAATGCGTTAAATGTTGAAAGCCCGGAAAACGTTGGAATTCACGAGAGAATATCTATATTTCTTTTAGAACGTTTTTTGTTGAAACAAATATAGATTTGTACAGCATGGAAAAATATGAGACAAGTATATTTATTTTTCATAAAATGCTGGCAGAGATTTAAAGGTGTGAAACACCTCCTCAAATTTTGACGGCCGAAATCATTTTTCTGCAATAAATGTCAAAGTGTTGTAAAAAAAAAACGAATTTCAAACTTCGACGAGATGTTTCAGCTCTTTAAACTTTGACATTTATAATATAGTAAAAATACGTCTCAGATTTTTCTATTTATAAAAAATTTAGATTCCTTATGTTTAACAAATCACAATAAAAAAATTTGAGTTAATAGAAATCAACGCTATTATCAGAGAACAAAGTATTATTACAAAAATATTTTTATATTTAATCGATGTTTAAAATGTTTAACATTTGATTATATATAATAATAAAAACTGATAGTTTAGGAATTTGCGTCGCGGTTTTGACAAAAAAATGCATGTCACTTCTACATATGTCACTTCGTCGCGGATTCGATAGGATCGATGAAAGACCCCGTTAGAGGTGCAACGAAAAATATCTGCAAATAGATATGTCCTGTTTAATCGATGTTGACGTCTTTGTGGAAAAAC